GGCCGCCGGGCAGCGGCGTCAGCGGAAGGAGCCGGAAGGAGCCGCCACCTCCGCAGCGACCGCGGCAGGGAGCGAGCGGCGGGACCGGCGGGACCAGGAGGAACCGGGAGAGGTGCGAGCGGGGACAGGGGAGGGTGGGGCCTGAACGGGGAAAGGGGAGAGGTGGGGTCTGACCGGGGAAAGGGGAGAGTGGGATCTGAACGGGGAAAGGGGAGAGTGGGATCTGAACGGGGAAAAGGGAGACGTGGGATCTGAACGGGGAAAGGGGAGAGTGGGATCTGAACGGGGAAAAGGGAGACGTGGGATCTGAACGGGGAAAGGGGAAAGGTGGGATCCGAGCGGGGAAAGGGGAGAGGAGGGATCTGAATGGGAAGAAGTGAGAGAGCTGGGATCTGAGCTGGGGAAAGGGGGAGAGGTGGGATCCGAGCGGGGAAAGGGGGAGAGCCGCCGGTGGGACGCGGGACCAGAGCGGGGGAAAAGCGGGACAGGCGGGTCCCACCGTGGGGACGGGCGGGTCCCACCGTGGGGAGAGGCGGGTCCCACCGTGGGGACGGGCGGGTCCCACCGTGGGGACGCGGGACGGGCGGGTCCCACCGTGGGGACGGGCGGGTCCCGCCGTGGGGACGCGGGACAGGCGGGTCCCACCGTGGGGAGAGGCGGGTCCCACCGTGGGGACGGGCGGGTCCCACCGTGGGGACGCGGGACAGGCGGGTCCCACCGTGGGGACGGGCGGGTCCCACCGTGGGGACGGGCGGGTCCCACCGTGGGGACGGGCGGGTCCCACCGTGGGGACAGGCGGGTCCCGCCGTGGGGACAGGCGGGTCCCGCCCGTGCCCGCGGAGGCTCCGGCGGGTCCCGCAGCAGGAGCGGGCGCTCCCCGCGCACCTCTGCCAGGCTCCCGCAATGAACCCCGCCGGGACAGGGCAGGTTTGGAGCTGGCAGAAGTGAACAGAACTGCACAGCCACAGATACAGAGAATTCTTCCAAAGCCTGGAGCGTTGTCAGTGTGGATAGGTATGATGGTCCAGCAGGGAGTAGGGCTATACTAAGTTGATCACGGGTCTGGAGCATCATTCTTAGGAGCAAGGGCTGAACTTGAGAAAACATGACTGAGAGGAGCCTTCTTACTGTTTATAAACATTAGAAGGAGGGCTCAGAGCAGGGACCAGGCTGTGCTCCCTGGGGCCCAGCAATGGGGCAGGAACTGATACCCAGGAAGCTCCACCTGAATATGAGGAAGAACTTCCTGTGCAGGGACCGAGCACTAGAACAGAATAGAGTGTGTGTAGTCTCCCTCACTGGAGATACTCCAGAACCATCTGGAGTCCATCCTGTGCTCCAGAATGACCCTGCCTGAGCAGGGAGGTGGGACCAGATGAGCCACTGCAATCCCTTCCAGCCTGAAGCATTCAGTGATCTTGTTCAAGCACAATTGGATAATAGCAAATTTAGCATAATCATTCAAGATGTCAGTGCCAACACAGGAAGTGGCCTTATTCCCTTTGAAGACTTTGATTAGGCAGTGGCTGCCACTGAACTACTAACAGAGGATTCTGTAAAAGAGAGCCTTGGAGCATTCCTACTCTATTGAACAGTGTAATCTGATTTTTAGCTTCTGAAATACCGCTGGAGCAATGTTCAGACAGTGTCAGGCTGCCACTAAAAGCTGCCTGTGTTTGGTTTTAGGTTGAGTATCCTGATGAGTAACTTGTCTTGGAGCATGGTGGAGCTTGCACGATCACACCTTCTCAAAAACTATGTCCTGAGTTTCCCTTGGTGAGCAAAGCTGTTACTGGATACCTGTAAATGGAAGAGAATGGAATCCCTTTGTGGCTGTTTGAGCACTGCAGATGTTCCTCTCACCAGCACCCTGTGGTAGATTTAGCAGAGAAGGAGATGGATAACCCCACGTTTAGAAGTGACACTGTGCTGTCTGATGTTCACTTGCACTGCCCAAGCAAAAGACACCTCATGGTACGCCTGAATGCAGTTGGACAGCCAGGTAATGGATGCTGGCACTGATGGAACTGTATTTTAACTGTACTCAGATCTTTGGAAAGCTGAATCCTCCTCTAAGTGGTTGATATTAATAGTTACATATTTTATTCCAGTTACAAGCAGAACCACCTCCTACTCAGTCTTTAGAAAGAGGGCTAGCTGTGTTACCCTCATAAAATTAACGCCAAAAAAAGAAAACTTGCAGACATGTAGGATTTGTCTTAAAACTTGTAGGACTTGTAGGAAAACTTGTAGGATTTGTCTTAAAAATTAAACTTTGAATTACTTTCTGAGAAAAAGTAACCAAATTTACTCACTTGCAGGTTTAATTTAATGGTTCATTGAGCAATATTGTCAACGTAGCACTTTGGGAGTCATGAATTAATAGAAGGTTGTGATGTTCCTTATACACAAACAAAAGGCAAGAAGCCAGGGGTTTTAAATAATGTAACTTAAGTTTAAAATATAAGCTATCAGTAATTGTTTTATCAAGTTTAATTAAATGTTTATGTGATGATTTACTATCAGTTCCAAGAAAGCATAACAGCTTTCTTTGGGTATATGGTGTTTTTTTGCTTTTGGTGGGTTTTTTTGTTGGAGGGATTGGTTTTTTTATGGGGAGGTATTTGCTTAAAAAAAAAAGTCAACAAGAAAACTCAACATAGCAATGACTTTAACTGACAGAATTGGAAGAGTCAAGGCTATAGAGGAAATTAGTTGGCAAATGCCCCTGGCTGATTGCCAGCTTGTAGGTTGCTATAAAGTTGTCAAGGGAACTGACCTTGAAGCTGCTGACAAAATGTTCTGTACAAAAGTCCTGCTGTGGCAGAAGTGTTAATTGTTTTTTCAAACCCAGTTGTGACATCAAAAGAGTAACTTCTGCAGCTGTTCTGGTGTATGACAATGTGAAAAATTATCCAAGTAGGCCTGACAAGGAAATTAATAATAATTTTGACCCTGTACAGGTCAAAACACAGGTAATTAATGCTGTGGTGGGTCTTCATGCTGCTTGGTATGTGTTAGCTGTGATTGTGATTGATGCAAGGAACCTTTCAACAGAAGGAAGTGACAGGGGGTTCTGCCTACTTCAGTGAGCTCTGTCTGGGACATTCCTCTGGTTATTGAGACAAGAATTGCATTGTAGTAGGACAGCCTTTAATGCCATAACAATCTACCAGTGCCACTTTGCTGTGTTTTGGGGAAGTTTATGGGGATTTAGTCTCTTCCCCTTTGAGTCAGTTTGACTTTCCACCTTTTGAATGCTGTAGAAATGCATAGGATCAGAATGAATTTGGAGAACAAAGCATTTAATTCACTGATGGCATCCTCTGTTTCAGTTAGTTTCATCTGGCCATCATGCAACAGTGGAAACTTTAAAAATTTCTCATGCTAGGACAGGCACTGAAGATTTTATTAGATTTAGCTAAAAATGGTCTCACTAGAGAAGAACCTCAGTCAGATTTCAGTAGACCACCTTGGAACATCTTGCCTACGAAAGAAACTAGAATAGAACTCCATAAATTGTGAAATTGTTGAAAGCAGTGGTGGCAAGGACTTAATCTCTTCCCTTTTGTTGGTAATGAACATAGATGGAAGGACTATGGAATGTCTGTTCTTCCTTATGTATGGTATTCAGGCAGTACAGATTCCAGTATTTAAAATTGCAAGGTCCATGTTTTAATAACTTAAAACTTTAATAGATGCTGATATCACTGAGTGATTGTTGTAAAAGATTTTTATTTATTGGTCATTTAGAATAGCTCCAGTTGTTTAATCTCTTTGTATAATGAGTTTAAACAGTTCCAAAAATTACAGAAGCATCAGCCTTGCCTCCTGTGCACTTATTTCTGCTCTTATATATTGAGCCAATTTCAAGGCATGAAGTTGCTTGAATTCCTAAAGACTTAAAAAGCAGTAAACAAAAATTCAACTTGCATTTTACTAGAACATGCCACTTTCTTACAAGGTAGGAATCTTAACCAAAATAAATGAATTCTAATTTATATCAATTCTGCTTTCAACTTAGTTTGAACTTCTGTGAACAGAACTTTTTTAGGATGTAAGAAAACATCCCCTCTGCCAGTAGTTAAAATAAATATTACTAAATCAGATGAACTGTGGCTGTGCAGATGCTGAGTCAGCGAGCGGACTCTGAAAGTGCTTTATTAATTTATGCTGACATAACTTAGTAATTAATAACATAAAATAATTATATTATTGTATAATGTATTAATTAAATATATAACTTATAGAACATAACATATAGAACATAACATATATTAATTAATTAAATAAGTAATAACAAAATTATTTCTTCATAGCAAATAAAACTGTATCTCAAGTTACCTGTATCATGTTTTACTCTATCAATTTTTAATACATTTAATGCATATCAAAATCTCATGCATGTGGAAGTTGTGCACAGGTTCTGCCTCATCTAGTGTCTAACCTTTCCCCTCACACTGTGTTCTTTCAGTATTCCTGTCATATTTCAAACTCCTTTGGAGCATAGAAGATTTGGCATCTGGGAAACACGTGAGAGAAATTACCACAGGAAGAGAACACCAGTGCACAAGTGGGGATGAACTGTGTGACAAGGACAGGAGTAACATGAAAGAAGAAGGAGAATTAAATGTTGAAGGAGTAAAAGCTCTGCTGGATGATGATGGAGACTTGGAAGTGGTCAGAAGGCCTCAAAGTGCCTCTGATTTGCAAGCAGAGGATCTTTTGAGGGATATAGCATGCCCTGTAATTCTGATGAAAGGGAAAGAAGATGCTTTTGAAGATGAAGAGCAGGAATGCACTTGCAGGGATGTTGTTAAAATAGGTAAATAATAAGCTTCAAGTCTGGGAGAAATGTGGCAAATACATTTCAGTAAAACAAAAGAAAAATAGGTTTTCTTTAGAAATGGAACAGCAGTTTGTTAAGTGAAAGAAAATAATGAACACAATACTGTGATATTGCAAATAAAATGCTACTTTTTTTCTCTGGAAAGGATTTGGGCACTGGTATACCACGGGGAACTCAGTGCTCCTTAGTTAAAGTGGGTGTTTGGCATTATCCAGCATTATTCTGTAGAATGAAGAGTGTTTAGTTCTATATTTGAAAGGGAAGCATAGCCTTAGTTTCAAACTTGCCACTTGATTGAACAATTTTGAGATAAATGTTTTCTATTCTACTCTCATTTCCACAGAACACACTATGGCAACCCCCTTAGAAGATGTTGGTAAACAAGTACGTGTTCTGCCTTGTAGTATCTTCATTTTCACGGAATGTGCTTCAGAACTGATTCAGTTTTAAGTGCTTCCCTTGTCCCCAGGTCTGGCGTGCTGCCTTCCTTCTGGCTGATTACATTCTCTTTAAAAGGGACACGTTCAGGGGCTGCTCTGTGCTGGAGCTTGGAGGTGGCACTGGAATTACCAGCATTATCATGGCAACAGCTGCCAAGAGAGTTTATTGCACAGGTAAGGCAGTTCCTTTCAGTTAAATATTTTAATGAAATTTGCCAAAGTAGTGCTTTCATCCTGGTATTTTCAGACTCATCTGTTTAGTTATAGTTAATAATTTTTATTAAAGTGTATCAATTTGTGTTATTTACTGAAAAATAGCAGGAACTTTCTCAAGGGCATGAGAAAGCTCAAGAGTTTAAAAGCAAGATATGTTGCAGTGAACTCAAGATAGTGTGTCCAGATTAAAATAGGTAGGATCTAACTTCTTCAAGGATTGCTCAGAGCTTGGAGCTGAAAGACAAAAGGAGGAAGGATACTAGGGGAGCAGTCATCAGTGGACAGAGTTGCTCTGAATTTTCCTTTATCTCATGAGCTTGAAACCTTGAGTCTGAGAGGCATAGATGCCCCATGCAAAATATTTTTATTTTTAATATCATTATTACTTCTTTTGCAGATGTTGGTGAAGATCTCCTGGCCATGTGTGAGCAGAATGTTGCATTGAACAAGCACCTGATGGAGCCAGGAGGTAGGTGCTGTATGGTCACATTTTGACTCTTTACTTTAGCCCAGGTGCTGTCTGAAAGGCCATTTGTGACTGATGAGATCTTTGTTCACTCCCAGGAGGGGAAATTAAAGTGAAAGAACTGGATTGGCTGAAAGATGAATTCTGCACTGGTAGGTACTTATAATGGCTTCTTTTAGAATGGGCTTGGTGTTTGGTGTTACATATTCAAAAACCTCTCTTGGGCCCCAAAGAAAATTCTGGTTAATGACAATATGTGATACTGCTAGTTAAAAAGGTTTTAAGTTTATTAGACTTTCAGGTAAAGATTCTTTAATGAAGAATAAATATTTAAAAGCATGATAAAATAGGAACATTAATCAAAACTTATATAAGAATATACTTGGGGTTTTGTTTAAAGGTGTCCTTGCTTTAATGTATTTAAAGCTGGGATTGCTACAGGATTGTGAATTCTGAAGCGCAAGAAAACTTTTGCTTGCCAGTCAGCCTTGGGAAGTTTGGACATGACACAGAGAAGGCAGAGGACTGGGGGAGCTTCAGAAAATGATCAGGGAAGGTTTAGATTTCCCTTGAGTGGTGTGCTCTGTTTATGGAGTAGCAGCTGCCCACAGGAGCTAAGAAGTTCCTTTTGAGACGTTTAATTACACCAAAGCCATATTCTTTCTTACAGATCCTGAAGCTCCTTATAGCTGGTCTGAAGAAGAGATTGCTGATTTGCTTGATCACTGTTCTGTGATAATGGCAGCTGATGGTAGGGAAATATAAACAGTAAGCTTTAAAATCAAACACTTGAGCATTATGAGTAATAATTTAAACATACCTAGTTTGCTTTTAAAATCTAATAGACCTGATTTGCCAAAGCTCTGCATTAAGTGTTCCTGCCTGTATTTTTCTTTTCTAAATGCTTATATTTATATTCTGAATTAGCAGTTATGAGTACAGATGTTACAAGCTGTAGCTCTTCCTTTTCTTTGGTGTATCCTGCTTTCAAAGGAGATCTGGTTATAATGGTAAATTAATTATGGCCTGGTGTGGGTTTTTGTGAGGAAAGAGGCTCTCTAGTCTCCAATATCCTGGTTTTTTTAGCTTTGTAGTAAGATTATTTCCAGTCTGAGAGAATTCTTGTCAAAACTTGTGTAAATTGTCCGACAAATTAGTCCCATTCTGATGAGAGAAAGCTTAAAGTCATAAATAGTAGCAGTGAATCCTCTTGCAAGGTCAGGTGTTGCCATTAAAAATGTACTTTGCACTTAGATAAAAGACTGACATGTTTGACTGGAGTAATCAAACTAAGGCCTGTTGTTGTTTCATAATGGACACTTAAGTAAATTATATCATTAATTATACATATGCTCTTAATCTTGTTTTTTACAGTGTTCTATGATGATGACCTGACAGATGCCTTGTTCAGAACTCTGTATAGAATCACACACAACTTGAGAAATTCTTGCACAGTTTACTTCGTCCTGGAAAAGAGGTTAGTATTACCAAGAACTTAATATAAAGAGCACTAAACACTTTGTGTGTTTTAATTAAAAGCTGGCTTCTGATTTTCATTGTATCAGATGCTCACAGGCTGCAGTATATGCTCATAATAAGCTCTTTTTTTTCCCTACATGCTTAATTTTTATCAGTTCAGAATTTGAGTTTAACAGGAATTTGCCTTTTGTTGTCCTACCTTTGCCTCACCCGAGATGACCTCTGTTCAGATAAGGATAAAGAGATGGCTAGATTGATATAATGCCTGATAACATTTGCTATATATTTTTAAGGTCACAGAGTGGAATGAAGTGATTTAGAATTAGGGTATTTATTTCCTAGCTTGAGCAGCTCTACAACAGTTTCTCTTGTTTGCTTTCAAGGAATCAATGAATGTTTTTAAGTAACTGTGTGTTGCAGTCCATTCATAAGCTGATAAACAAATAGGCTTTGCTTAAATCTCTGGAGATTTATAAGCAATAACTCTTCCTGTGGTTTGTTGCCAGGTGTTTGTCTAGGAAGCCAATTCAATGATTCTGTTGTGGCAAAGTGCCCTAAAATCAATGGAAACGTTCATCCAGGAGTTATTGTGTATTGATGCTGACATAACATCTTTTCTGCTTTTCAGGAATGGGGGTATACATTTTTTTGGCTGCTGAAGGGAGTTAATTAGGCTGAGAAGATTTATTTTTTCATTAGCTGAGGGAAGTTACACACCTATTTAAGATGCCAGTATAGGAGAGATGTTCTAAATGAAATACTCTTTTGCCAGGCTGAACTTCACTTTAAGACATATGGATGTTACGTGTGAAGCCTACAGTCACTTTAGAAATACTCTAAATGATCTGGAGAATCTCCAAGATGGAAAAATGAAATATACAGTGGAGCCCATTAAGCTTGATTTCTGCCAGTTCCTTGTTTATGAACGGATTGAGCAGTTGGTAAGTGGCATTCATGAAAATAAATGTAATGTGTTAATCATCTCTAATTAGTTATCAGCTGTTTATGTAACATGAAGGAAGAATAGAAGAATAAACATTATATTTTATTTCCACTTAGTTTTTTTGATTTTAAATGATCCTTATTTGTGCTTATATAATCTGTACTAGATTGACATGTCCTGGTTTTGGCTGGGACACAATTGATTTTCTATCACCAGCAGTAGGGTGGCTGAGATTGCCCTCAGTTCCTCAAAGGATAAGAGACTTTTACTTTGTAAAATGCCATTTTTGTGACTGAACTGGAAAATGGCACCAATATCTCTTCTAATTTATTTTCTTGTAGGAGAGCTTTCATTTCACACTTTCAGTGATTCCTTTCCCAGTTCAGAGTTCAGGACATAATGTTCTAATATCTATGAAGAAGTCAATTAGCTGTAAACTTCTGTTATTGAGAAATAATATATATTATACTTCTGGTTATCTAATTACCCCTCAAGCACTTATGGTTCTCTTTCTCCATTTTTTTCCAAATTATCTGCCCTTAGGAATATTATGCAGGGTAACTAACAGCTAACAAGCTTCCAGAACAATCCAATCTAATGAATCTTTTTAGAGGAGATACAAATCTTGTGCTGGATTGCAAATCTGGTACCAAGAAATTATGTTGTTGTAATCAACATACTGTGAGTATGCATAGTGAGATGACAGGGGCCACAGTTACTTCATGAGATTGATTTATTTCTTAATGCTGGTACCTTCAGGCATAAAACGTGTAAAACTGTTTAAAAGTTTTAAAAGTACACAAAGATTACCTAGATTATAGATAATAATCTATAATCACCTAGATTATAGATAAATGTGTAAATTCATTTCCTGGCTGCTTTGAGGAAGGCTGCTGATCTTTGAAATCTATGCATTTTTAAAATGCCTATGTTTTTATTTACCATTAAGTCTATTGCCACAATTCAAAGATGTCATGGTAGAGAGAATGTGGTAGTCTGCTCAAATGTGGAGCAGACAATATATTAATATATTCTAAAGAAACAAAGTGATTAAGGATTTGTCATCCTTGTTGTCTATAGGATTGAGAAAGGGATTTGTGTTTATATAAGCCATGCATTTGTGAGATTTTTATTCCTCAGTAAATTATTTCTTCAGCTGTTTTTTTACCAGCATTATTGAAACCATTTGTCAACACAGGCTAAAAAAAAGAGCAGGATTATCAGTCAAGATCATGCAGATCAGTGAAATGACAGAATCACAGAACATTTTGAGTTGGAAGGGACACACAAGGACAATTGAATCCAACTCATAAATAAATGGTCTCATACAGGGATCCCGCCCACAACCTTGGCATTATTAGCACCATGCTCTGACCAATCGAGCTATTTCAAACTATTTTAAAACAAACTATACTAAATGCACATTAATTTTTAAAATCATGCTACAAGAATTAAGCAATCAGCTATAGTGTTCTGTTTCAAAGATAATTTGGTAATTGTTCCAGGAAATTACAGACATGGATTTGGTATCTATCCATAGATGTATACTACCTATAGATGGAGGTATAGGGTGTGTCTTAAAACTTCTCTTACAGTAAGCATGTTGAACTTCTTCATAATTGCAACCTACTGATGTGAGAAAATACCTGTTTTCTGCTCCTGCAGGAGTTGTGGAAGGTCATGGCTAACCACCTAACGTGACAGGCCCACGAGGAAAAAGCAGATCTTTACCTAAGGAGAAGGGCTATTTTGATGTTCTGTTAAGAAAAGGATTTTCGTCCCAAGAAAAGCATCCTGGTGGAATTGTGTTCTCAGAAAGTATTGCAGTGCAGTTGTGCTTTACTTTTTTGGTCTCAGCACTTCGTTTCTTGGACTTGTGCAGTTGGACATGATTTCTTTGATGTTTCCAAGTACTGCTGGATGCCAGGCAGTGGCAGTGACATGGTGACTTGCTCTTCGGATTGATGAATTCAGTCTTAGAGTCTGGCAAAGAAGTATTTAACCTTTTCCATGTGGCTGATTTGCAGATGTCATGCATTTCCCTTTATAGTTTACACAACATGGACACCGTTCTCAATCTTGTCCAGTTCCACACATTATTTGTATTTATCAACACTTGTGAAACGATGCTCTGGACAAGACTTTGTTTGTCATTAATGAAATTTTCTTTAAAAAATTTGTTGACGAAACTTGGTCCTTAATTCTCAGTTTGTCCTATATAAATCACTCTAGTTTAGAGCCACTGTCTGAATTGAAAGGAAACAAGATGCATTTTGTTTGACTCTCTAAAAATACTCCACAGAGGTTTTGGAGTATAGGAGGTCAACCCTATATTGTCCTGCAGGAATTTTAAGCTATTCAGTCCTGGGGAGGTTGAGGATGAGAAGATAGCACATAAAGGGAGATGTTACAGCTCTTGAAATATTTGGAATTCTACCCTCAGCGTACACATGTGAGGCTGGAGGTAGGGAAGTGGACAAGAATGTCTTGTGGGCCTTCAATATCTTACTTCTGGATTAAAATAAAATATTTATTAAATCTCTCCTGTGTTATTAATGAGTCCAAAAATCTGCTCGCACTTTTATAAATGTTATGTGCACTGTTGTGTTTATATCACTTTGCCATATGTACACTGCCATGGAAATCCTTGTGCCCACTGCACTCCTCAGCACCAAGAGAGTGTCAGTGATGGAGCTGTTCCAGCCTGGGACTTGTGGGAGTGGGCAAGACATTCATTACAAGCATCTGATGGACTTCTTGAAAGCCTGTTTTGATGTAGGTCAGTTATTTCATAACCTTCTTATGTATGTGAAGATCTATTTTTTGTGTTCTTTAATGGCATGAAAGGTTATTAGATGATGGCCATTCCCTGTGAGTACAAAGTAAAAATTACATTAAGTTAGCTACTATGTATGTACATTATGTTATGTATCTGCCTACATTAATGTGAAATCTCTCTCAGAACCCTCATTTGAACTTCAAAGATGAAAAACAGTATTTTAATCCAAAGATTCCCGAACTAATGTTTGTTGGTTTGTTTTGTAATGTTATTGACTTTGGTAGATTCAGCTGTTTTTGAATGTAGCTGCTTATTTCAGTAGTGATTTTTTGAAGGCTGTACAAGAATATACAAGGCTGATGTGAAGTAGTGTAAGCAGTTAGGGAATCGTGGTTTTTCTCACACAGGATTTCTCAAAGTCTTTGGAATTATCAATAGAAACTCACCTGCAAGTCCTTCATTTCTGTGAAGGAAGAGAAAGTAGACACTTAATTTAAAACCTATGAATATTTCTGCTCAGCTGTGGTGATTAGGTTTTCACTTGGAAAACTTTCTCTTTTGCTAAATAAAGTCATCAGGCAGTTGGGAGCATTTCTGGATCTGGCTGGCAAATCCAGATGGATTATTTTCTGGAGAGAGGAGCATAGAGGAGGTGAAGTGGAACCTGGGGAACCCTTGCAGTACACTTAGCTCTGATAAAAGGGAGGAGTGTTCCAGTAGGATCTTCCAGTAGGAATCTGGTTTGAAACAAATGATTTTCACTTTTGTCACTTCCATATGGTGAAACAAATGCCTTTTCTCAGTCCCCACCCCTGTCCTGTTTTTATCTCTCTTAAGAGAAGTAAAGGTTACACAATTACAGATATTGGTCAGGAGAAGAACTTTAACTTTTATGTGACACCCAAATAAGTATTGCAAACTAACTGCATTTATTTCTTTTAAATCTTTGTTGATGTGAAACTTCAAGAGTTGCTTTGTTGTGAATGTCTGTGTGTCATTTTGCAGTAGCAAAAAGTTGAAGACGCTCCCTTGATGGGCTAGATTCTGTGTATTTATCATTGTTGGATGTTCTCAAGTGTAGGTGGCTATTTGTAGGCCATCCTGGTAGCTCCATCTGCTGTACAACACTTTGAGTCAAAACATTTTACAGTTTCCTCAACACCCTGTTCCTTTCTAGTTTGACAATATTGTTTTTTGGAGTAACAGTTTAGGTGGCATGCGTGGTTCTGCACTTCTCACCTAGACTTGCAGTTGAAGCTACAATGGAAATAATCCTGAAAAGAAGGTGGTGTTTAATTGCCTACTTTTTGACAGTAGCTTTGCCTCCAGCAGTTCAGGGTTTTCAGAAAACGTTCTAGGAAAAAGTAGATGCACTTTGTGTATGTGTGTGGTAGGAACTTCTCATTCCTGAGAAGATGAGGACTTAAATTCGATCTCAAAGTTTGATAGAAGGAAACTATCATGAGATTGTCTGTTCATTAACTCAACCATTTGTAGACTTCTACATCCACCACTAGTTCCAGTCCCTTTTCACCAGAGACTTAAGGGCTATGTCCTTGGCAATTGCATTTCTGGGTTTTGTTTTGTTTTGTTTGCTTTGTTTTTTCATTCTGATAGACAACATCTTAAAACTTGGAAAAATAATTTCGTATGTCTGAAATTTCTACTTACTGAGCTTATTTTATGTTCCAGTTGTATATTTTCCCCTTTCATTGTGTTTATGATAGCAATTTTGCAATCTGGATTCCAATGCTTTTGATTCCCAGGAAACCTAATTGTAAGTGTAGTTTTCCAGTGGATCAATGAGACTAGTCCAGCTGACTCCTGTGATCAGTCAGGGCCATCAGTGGGGACCTGTTGCTGGGGGTATAAAGGAAGAGCAGAGCAGCTATTTTGATTGCAGTGGATATCTGGGTGCTCTTTGGAGTTATGTGTAACTGTGCTCCCAAAGTGGCAGTGCAAGGTGTGTTAGCAAAGCAGATTTTCCTCAGTCCTGTGCCTGAAACCACATTACCTGGAGTCAGACTGCCATGAGTGTGACAGACAAATGCTGCTGGTGGTTTTAAAAACAGTTATTGGTGCTGAGTGTTGGGTACAGGAAACTGAAGACTGCTTCTGAAAAGTGGGTGCTGAATTCCTGTCTGCTTGTTATGGCATGGCAAGAAAAGCTGCCTGTCTCATAAGCTTGCACAGATGTTTCAATCTGCAAGTAAATTGAGAATTATTAATGCTTACTAACTTGTCTTTAAAATGCAGTTCACTTCCTGAGTGTGCTCATAGTATTTGTAAGCTGAACACTTTGGAGGTTCAAGTGAAGTAGGATTTGAAAATTAGCTACTTCCTGCTGCCAGGCTATCATGCTGTGACACAGGTCCAGAGGTTTGAGTTCTTTTACAGACTCATCTTGACCCTGACCTTTTGTGTCTGACCTTTGCAACTGTGCTGGAAGTTAATGCATTAACAGAATAAAGCTTCCTCTCGAGAAATAACTGCCTCTTCATGCTGCCAGCAGTGCAGTCAGCTGTGTCAGTACAGCACACTGCCACATTGCCTCAGAGGAAGTTTCCCCCAGCAGATGGCACATGGAATTTCTTTAACAGCATCCAAAAGCAGTAACTATATGTGTGTATATATATATGTGTGTGTGTGTGTGTGTGTGTGTGTTTATTTACACATTGCGCAGGCCAGCCCCACTGATGTGAGCAAGAAGAGATGCAAAGGAACAGCCCTAGCTTGCAAGCAAGCTGAGTGTGTTCTCTAAGCTTTTTGAGCAAATATTCAAAGGGGATACTCATCAGATAGTGAGTGAGTAAGATATGTAAGGTGTTAATAATAATTAGAAGTAACATAATTTTTGCCTCAAAGTTAAGTAAAAATACATATAATAAATTAGGCAAGAAAGTTGACAGGGAGTAGGACAGAAGATAGCATGAAAAAAGTAAAGTTTACTGCTCTGTTCTTACTCTATGGGATATCAGTAGCAGGTTTACATTATGGAATGATCTGAAGGGACACCAAGAAATTAGCTGAAATTATCTGTTCTGTATTCCGCTCAAAGCAGAATCCTATTCATCTGAGAAACTTAATAAATGTTTGTTATCAAAGGCTCTCATCACAGAGATCCTGTAATCTGTTCTACTGCTTTATGATACAAATGGCTTACTGCCATCTGAATGGCTAAACTGCCACCTCTCGTGTGATTTTTGGACCATTAAATCTTTCTTACTGGAACAGACTGACAGTCATAAGGGTTCTAAGCCGGGTAAGTGGAAATGAGGAGGTGTAGATGGCCTAGCCTCATGGTGTGTGCAGGGACAGAAGGATCCTGTGACACCATCTGCAAATTGATGGTGTTGCAGCACAGAAGAAGAGCTCTAGCCTCTCAGAGCCCGCAGCATTCCTGCCTTGCTTGGGTCCTCTCCAGCTCTCCTGTCCAGTGGCCTTCAGCTGCTGTGCCACACTAGCTGCTCCAGGATACTCCCTGGAGCCTTCCATGGAGGTCCTTGAGGGCTGGGCAGGGTCTGGCAGCTCCCCTCTCTTGTGTGCATCCCTTGTGAACCCCAGCTCTGAGCAGTCACCTGGACTGGAGAGTGCCCGTGTGCTGCTCGCAGGAGAGGGGACGGAGGTGACATTTATTGGCCTTCTGTAGCCAAGGCTTAGGTTTTGAAGAAAACCAAGGCTGTGAATGAGACATGAATTCTGCAAGATGAGAGTCTAGATAGGGTTCAACATGCTTGCCGTAGGTTCTGTTGTGGATGAGATACATAATAATATTTATGACAGGGTGGGAGCTTCAAGGGCAGCACTGTGCCTGCAAATACCACATTGCTGCAGCAGAACCGAGCAGCAGCTGAGCACAGGGGCTCCTTATGGCATTTGAGCTGCTTCAGTCCGCTCATGTCCACAACAAAAACATGTTGTGTCTAGGCCAGCCTTAAATGCTGGTGAAGATTTGGGTTTTAAATTTGGAGTTTGACAGCACACTAGGTTTAATTTGAATTTCTAATCAGAGTTAGAAGACCAAAATACTTTCTCAGTTGCTGCCTTTGCTAAATTAAGTATGTCCCAAGTGGCAGCAAATAAACAGGAGGCAATAAGGAAAGGACAAACGGCTCTTTGCGGAGCTGGAAGTGCAGGCACGGATTCCCATCGCGGTTAGGAAAGAAGCTCCGCTGCCCTTGCCGCGGATGCGCGGCGGCTTCCGAACAGGGGGCGCGGGCCAGGCGGAGAGGAGAGCGGGCAGGCGGCGATGGGGGCGGGCAGGCGGAGAGGAGAGCGGGCAGGCGGCGATGGGGGCGGGCAGGTGGAGAGGAGAGCGGGCAGGCGGAGAGGAGAGCGGGCAGGCGGCGATGGGGGCGGGCAGGTGGAGAGGAGAGCGGGCCAGGCAGAGATGGGGGCGCCCAGGCGGAGATGAGGGCGGGCAGCCCCCGCCGAGCGCCACGGCCGGTCCGGGCCCCGCCGCCCCGGCCCCGCCGTCCCTGAGGGGCCCGGCCGGCCCCGCCCCTCCCGGCGGGGGCGAGCCCCGGCCGCGCTCTCCCATTGGCGGCGGCGGGCGCGGGGCCGCGGGCGGCGGCGCTGATTGGCCGCGGCGCGCGGGGCGGGCGGGGCGCGGCGGGCCGGGCGGCGGCGGGGCCGGCGGGACGCGGCCGGCCCAGCGCAGCCCAGCGCAGCGCAGCCCGGCGCGGCCGCCGCAGGACGCGCAGCCCGCACCTCCCGGTGAGCGCCCGAACCGCTGCCTTCGCCGCCCGTCTGTCCCGGCCGGCAGCGGGACTCCCCGCGGGCCCCCATCGCCGCGGGCGGCGGTGCCCGCGTTGCCGGGGCAGCCCCGCGTCCCCCGCCGCTCGCTGATGCCCTTCCGCCGGGTCCCGGCCCGCCGCACCCTGCGGACCGCGGGGCTTCCGCTGGCGGGCGGGGGTCGCGGAGGCCGGCGGACCCTGCCGGGCCCGGGCGGGGGCCGGCCGCCCCGGAGGCGGGTTTGGGATGCTCTGTGCCCCGGCAGCGGCACCCACGGCAGGGGGGTGGGCCCGGCACGGAACTGCGGCGGGGAAAGGGGAAACGGGAACGTGCAAAACCCGTGAGAAAACAGCTGCGTGCCGCGGGAGAACGGCAGTGGCTTCGCGTGGAGGGCGCCCCTGGATGAGGTGTTGCAGGAGCTGAGTAATGGTGTTCGCGGAGGCCTGTGCTGCACTTCAGCTGGGGTTCAGCTGGCCTTTTCAGTTTCCTGTTCTCCAGCCGGTGCTGGTGATGCAAAACCCAAGCCAATACCTCAGGCTTTGGTTTGATGCATCCTTAGCATCGCTTCCCTTACAGCGCTTAAAGTAGCGCGGGGCTCTTCAGCCGGAGCTTTGCCTCTCCCCGGCTTGGCTTTTGCCTCCGTAATTCTCCATCTCTGTTTATGAAATAAGCAGAGAAGGAAATGATATGCAAAGAAACTGAACTACTGTGGGAGATTTCCAAGTAATTTTGTAATCAGTAATGAATGTTCAGGCTTACAAATACTGGATTTTGCCCTACAGTTCAAAGGCACAGTTGATGGGTATGGGCTCTTAAAAGGGTCTTTGCTTTTACAGTTTGAAGCAAGGAATCTGGTAAAGGTTGA